AAATTACTACTCAGCATAGAATTTGTTGGGCTATCATTTCCAACATGTACAAATAATCAGAAATATCTGAAATGTCCTCAGGGTCTTTGTTTTTACATGGAAATTGTCCATAATAAAGTGAGTATATTCCTCCCCTTTTTTCTTGGTCTGGGCCCACTCCTGTGATAGAAGCTGTTTGACTTTAAAAAAAAAATCCTGCTGGGGAAAAAGATTTTTTTTTTTTTTGCCTCCACATTTTGTTGCTTTGTCAGTGATCCATCAGATTGTATTTGATGAAGTCATTTTGACACAATACAGAAAAAAATGGTTAATTTTTTAAAGCATATCATCTTTATACAATATTTTGTTTTTGTTTTTGTTTTTGTTTTGAGACATGGTCTCACTATGTAGTTGACCTGGAACTCACTATGTAGCCCAGGCTGGTCTCGAACTCACAGTGATCCTCCTGCCTCAGCCTCCCAAGTGCTGGGATTACAGGCATGTGCCACTATACCCGGTTTACAGTATTTTATTCTATAAATATATGAGCCAATTTTTATACAGTATCCCCTAACAGATCAATTTTATAAATTAATAAAAGTCAAAATTTTACTCTAATTTAAAATTAAGGTTTGTGACTTTCTAGTTCTTTCCATTTGTGGTAGTTGCATTAATTTAGCATCTTTGGGAAGGCATTTATCTTTTTGCAGTAATGTCTAAAGTTAAAATAATTTTTCCCTTTTAAAGTACTTTAATATTTGTTTTTTAAAACACATTGTGTTGTACACTGTTTTAAAGCCTTTACAAATGCTAGCTCACTTAAACTTCCAAAAAAAAAAAAAATTAGAAGGGGATTGTGGGTGTAGCTCTGTGGTAGAGCTGATACTTGCGTGTGCAAAGCCCTGGAGTTCAATCATGAAAGAAAGAAGGAAGTGGGGGGGAGAAAAGAGAAAATCTAATGGTGTTAAATGCCATTTGAAATTCTGGCACCCAAGTAATGATTGCATTACACAGTCTTTTAGGTCTGTTTAAATGCTGACACTAGGCTGGCTTTATAATTTTAAAGAAATTCTCCAATCACTTTCATACTAATTCTTCTTTTTACAAGTGGTGATTATTACCTAACAATGCTTTTTAAAAAATGGAACATACTGAATTTCATTAATTTACTACCATTTATGGTAAGCACCTACACCAGAATCCTCATAGTAGCAACCTAAAGATTCAAATAACTTGCAGATTATATTTATTGAGATAATTTTTCTTGGAAATTGTAATTAGTCAAGTTTGCTACTCTGCTTTTAGTACATCAGGTTCTCCTGGCTCATAATATATACCCTCTGGCCAGTGGTTATTTCATGATCTGCTGGATACCTTGAAGCTGGAATTGATCTTCCAACAGAAATAGAGGGACCATGGTATGGTTTCTGGGAAACAACTTGCAATAGGAATTCTGGCTGTTTCTCAAAGAACAATTAAAATATGGGTAGCAAAAAAACTATTGTCACTTGGAATTAAAGTTGCAAAAATTATATGTTCTGTGTCCAAGTTGACCACTTAATATGAATGAAATAGAAAGGAAGGGTGGTATCTAGTTTAACTTTTGAGTATGCTTTATGATTTCAAAGTTCTTTGATTAAATTCTAAGCTTTCTCAAGCTAACGCATTACTGAATTGAATGAAATGACATATGTAATAACTTTTGGTACAGTTTTTAGAACATAATAAAAAACCAATCAACATAGATATCTGACTTCAAAGAAATCTCATTTTATTTCTCAAGAAATAAGTCCTTTGAGCTGGGTGTGGTGGTACACACCTATAATCCCAGCACTCGGGAGGCTGAGGCAGGATTGCTGTGAGTTCGGGACCAGCCTGGGCTACATAGTGAGTTCCAGGTCAGTGTGAACTACATAGTGAGACCCTGTCTGAAAAAACAAAAAACAAACAAACAAAAGAAAAAATAGGTCCTCTGAGAGCACTTATGGAAATAACTATAATTGACACATCCCACTGGTGTGTCTTATTTTCTTCCTTGTTGCTGAGAGAAATTCCTGACACCCACAAGTTAAAGGAAGAAAGGTTTATTTCACCTCACAGTTTGTAGAGGTTTCAGTCCATAGTCAACTGGCTCCAGGGCAGGGCAGCTTGGCACAGAGACATGGCAGAGGAGAAACAGTCCACAGTGAGGCAGGCGGAAAGCAGCAGCCGGCAAGCCTCCCTTTCCCTCTTACACCATCCAGACCACAAGTCTTTTGGCTATCCCCACTCACAGCCAGGATGGGCCTTTCCATTATCCACACCAAGAACCTGATAAACCAATTAGTGGACTAATCCTGTACCACATGCCTGTAATCCCAGTATCACACAGCCTAGATCCAGTCACCTCCGAAAAGCCTCACCTATGACCCCAAGAAGCTTTGGGGGGACATCTAGATATAAGCCATAACATGGTGCAAACTAGTAGGGCTGCTCAGGTTGTGTAGACCCACATCCAACAGGACCAACAGTGCCCTCTAGTTCTTAAACATTTAGAACTTCACCCCAATATAACCAGGAAGGAAGCAAATCTTAGCTTATAAAAAGAGTAGTTGTGCTGATGTTTGGAGAGTCTTTATTTCGAAATCTGAATATTCTAAATTATGTACAATGAGCCAGGTGTGGTGGCACATGCCTATAATCCTAGTACTCGGTAAGCTGAGGCAGGAGGATCGCTGGGAGATCGATACCAGCCTGGGCTACAAATTGAGTTCCAGGTCAGTCTCAACTGCATAGTGAGACCCTGTCTCAAAAAACAAAAAGAAACAAAAAATAAATAAATAAATTTATGTACAATATTATATGTTAGTATAGATGCTGACTGAATATTATAATCAACTACTTTAGTTAAATTTACTCTAACTTCTAAATTATATATAATTTCTAATTTTTTATTTCTTTCATTGTTTTATAACATGAAAATACATGCTTTTTATCATGACAATCCAATGAAATTTAATGTCATATGAAATCTTTGTATATTTTCTTAACATTATATTTTCAGCCAATTTGAGTAATGTTAGAAACTATGTTCTTGCCATTTAATATATATATTTGCAGCTGAATATATTCTATAAAAGATAGCATTAAACTTTATCAGAGAAATAATCTAGAAGTTAGAAAAACTACCTAGTAGCTCCTTTAAATGTAAAAGTTATAATTCTTAAACAGCTTTCAGTCAAATTGGTACAGAGTAAAAACTATAACAGAGAATGTTTATTGATCTAAACTTTCTAGTTTATGCTTTCCTAACTTAGAATAAAATAAGTGATCTGTATTTTAGCTTGGGTTTAAATAAGCAGGTCATATTTGAGAGTTAAGTATGTTACCTTGTTTTTTTCAGCAAATTATTTAAACATTAATAATGAACTTTATGTTTGAAAGCAGAAAGTGTAATCTATCAGCAGATAATTTTGGAAATGAAATTTAATGTATCAGGACTTAACATAAATGGGTATGTGAAATGTTAACATAAAATTGTACAGAAAGCTAGTATTTTGGCTTATATTTTTTAGTACCCATGTTCCTACATGACCTGAGAGAAAATTCTGAAACTCAAAAGTATCCTCCATCTCTAGTAATTAAACACTGCCTTGGTTACTTTCTCATTGCTGGGACAAACTACCCTATACCTACAAATTAAAAGAGAACATTTATTTTAGCTCGCAGTTTGTAGAGGTTTCAGTCTGTAGTTGGCTGACTCTAAGGCAGAGGGGCAGGGCAGAGCAGGAGGAATTCACATGGCAGGTGGACTCTATAACTCACTTCTTTCCCTTTTTATTCCATGCAGTCTACAAACCTATTGATTGGTGTCACCCACACCCAGGGTGGGTCTTCCCTCTTCAGTAAATCCACCATCCACTCCCAAACTGAGCTAAACTATGAATAGACTAACCCAGTATCACACCCGTGACCTATTCACTCCAAAAAGTCCCACCTGTGAGCACATGAGGCTTTGAGGGGACATCTGGTTATAAGCCATAACCAAATGAGATTTTTTTTTAAATCTGAGCAAACTGGTCGAGATTATTCTGTCAACTCCAAATTTGAAGCCTGATCTCTTCCCTTTTACTCTAAAACCAAAATAGTAGTAGAAACAAGAAAATCTTTAAAATACATAGCTACCAGGGACTAAACTCAGGTCCTTGCACTTGCAAGGCAGGCCACCGAACCACTGAGCTAAATCCCCGGCTAAAATCAGTATTTCTTAATGGACCTGAAACGGAATAAGGAGTCAAAGCAAGGAGCAAAAGATTGCCACTGAGTCTGTTGAGCCTCTGGTCTAGAAGGAAGAAGTGGCTGGGAGCTCAACTACTCACACAGGGGTGAGATCCGCAGGTGAGAGGCAGCATACTTATATCCAAGTGCCTGCTAAAAACTGGAAGGTAGACTAAATCTTTCATTTTTTTACTGAAGCACTTGAAATGCTTGTAGATTGTTTACTTTGAGTTTTGCTGTCTGACAACCATTTTATGTTCAGATTCCCAAAAGCAGTTAATTAAGGAAGCAATGGCAGAACCATAGACAATTTATCTATAAATATAAAGATTGAGATGACAGCATACAGAATTGAAGTCATTTTCTGAATTAGGTACTTTTCTGGGAAATACTAAGACCTTTCCACTACAACTTTAAATTGTGAAAGTCTGATTTAGGGTAAATATAAATAAGGAGTAGCTAAGTTTCAAGTTTTCCTCTAGATTGTCAGTCCTATAATTTATTATGTTAGATTTCTAATTGCCATCATACTGAGTTTAAATGGTTTTTTACTCAAATCCTTTAGCCCCTGATAAACCTAACTCTAAAGAGTCTTCACAGAAATAATATTGAAGAATTCTCCTGCATTTTTCCAATGGTGTTAGAAAAGCAATTATAAAAGAAAGAAAGAAGGAAAGAAAGAAAGGCAATTACTCTTATTTTGGTTACTTCTGTGGCAAGGAGAAAAACATGGACTCAGTGTTGGGATTTCCTTCCTTTTTAAGGCACAGGACCTCAATGTCATTGAAGAAGTGATTCGAATGATGTTAGAAATTATCAATTCCTGCCTGACAAATTCTCTTCACCACAACCCAAACTTGGTGTATGCACTGCTCTACAAACGGGATCTCTTTGAACAGTTTCGGACTCATCCTTCATTTGAGGATATAATGCAAAATATTGATCTGGTGAGTATAAGTGGAGGTACATACTGTGTTTCTCTTTTAAGTACTAAACTCTGCAGTTTACTTTGTCAGTTGTTGCATTCTGTAATAAACATACACATTTAACAGAATTGAGATCATACTTTATACAATCTGTATTTTCTACTTAACATTTAGATCATCAGCATTTTTCTGTAGTATCATTAATTCTTTGAAAGTCTCTCTCTCTCTCTTTTTTTTTTTTTTTTGAGACAGGGTCTCACTGTATAGATGAAACTGACCTGGAACTCTCTGTGTAGCCCAGGCTGGTCTCGAATTCACAGCGAGCCTCCTGCCTCAGCCTCCCAAATGCTGGGATTATAGGCGTGTGACACCACACCCAGCTGAAAGTCTCATTTTTTTAGTATCTATCTGGCTATATTGTAGATGTCCTAAAACACATTTACTTATTTTAATTATTTCTAGCATTTTATATCAGTTCATAATTAATAATCGGTTTATAAATTTTATTTTACATGTTTAAATAATATTTTTCTATATCTTTAAACTAGAATCTTATTGGTTCTTACCAGCAGAGAGGCTCTGTGTTTTCAAGATTCAACACAGTCTAACAAATTGCTTTCCAAGGACATTGTACAGTTATGCATCTGTATGTAATTGTATGTTTCCACAGTGACCTATAGGAAGACATCTCACTATGCTTTTGCAGCTTTGAGCATTCAAATGATTTTAATATGTGTCTTTTTATAATAAAATGGCATTTCACTATTTTAATTTCTCTAATTACTAATGTAGTTGAAATTTTTTTGCAGGTCTATGAACTTTTGCTTCCTGACCTTTCCAAAAAGATTTTTGCTAAATTTTCAATTGCTGTAATAATGTTTTTCAATTCATTTTGATCCCATGAACATTTTTTGAATAGCTAGTATGATTCACAGAATTAAGAAACCAGAATAAACTGAACAACCAGCACCCTGTTCTGTGTTACTCATATTTAGGAAAATATTTCACAATTGAATTGTCACTCAAGCACAAATATGAGTTGATTAAAGCACGTGCACATAGCTTTTTGTAGGTGTCTACTCAATAGCAGAATTTCTGGGTAATATGTATCATATCAAAGTGTTTACTATTGAGCGTTACCATTTTCTACTCTAACTCATGGTGTAGGAGAATTCCTATTGCTTTATATTCTGATTTCAATAGTTTTGCCAATTTTGTAATGGCTTTTAATTTTATTGTAATTCCTTGATTATAAATGAGGATGAGCATATTTCATACACTTAATTATATGAATTTCCTCTTTTATGAAGTGCCTATTTAAATCTTTGTCAGTTTTTCTGTTGAGTTACTTATCTGTTTCCTATCAGTGCTACACTTTATTCTGTTAACCTGTACATTATATGTCTTCCTTAGTTATGCATTATAAATGTCTAGTCACTAACTCAGTTACAAATTTTCTGACAAAATTCTAAAATTCTCAAAATGATAAAACAGATCAGGTAATAGTCTGCTCCATTCTTTCCTTGGAAACCTTCTTCCTGCCAACCCATTGTTTACTGGTTCTCTTGCTCAACTGCAGTGGCTTCCTGAGAATGTCATACTACTCTTCTTCGATTGAGCCCAGCTCCTGTGTCTTCCTCTTTATTCATTTACTGCTTCTTGTTGATGGAACAAACACAGTATTAGCTTTCTGGGAAAAGAGTGATGCATTTTTAAATTAATACATAATAATGGTACATACTTATAGTGTACAGTGTGATATTTCAGTACATATATAATGTATAAGATCAAATTTGAGTAATTTGCCTATTCATCACCTTAAACATTTATCATTTCTTTATACTGAAAACATTCAAAGCTTTCTAGAATTGTTTTCAATGCTGGAGATTCAGGACTTTGAAGAGCTAGGAAAGCACTGTACCACTGAAGTATAGCCGCAGCCCTTAGATATTTTTAAATACAGGTTTTTAAAATATTTTAATTTCTGTCTGAAAATCTTCCTTACATATGATCCACTGTCTTTTAGCTTTTTTGTCTCTCTCTCTCTTTTTTTTTGGTACTGGGGATCGAACTCAAGACCTTGCACTTGCCAGGCAGGTGGCAGAACCTCTGAGTTAAATCCCTGGCCCTTCTGTCTCTTGATCTTATGTTTTTCAATTTCATGATTTGCTGTACCCTGGTTAATTTTATTGAATGTTTGGAGGATCCTTTTGTCTAAAGGTTCACGTTTAGTACAAATACTACTTCTCCCCTGCTACTTCCTTTCTATAAAACTCCTATTAATCCTTAGGAGACTTCCGATGTCATTGTCATTAAATCTCACTTCTTGAACTGGTCCATGTCTTCAGGTAAGAATTGGCTCCTATCTGTGGTCTGTAAGCCTTTCTCTCAGAGTTTTAAAAGAGGCTGTGGATCTGGTTGGGTTAAAGAGATGGAAAGAGCGGCTTTGACACAAAAACCTCCTGCTTACTTTTCAGTGGCAGAAACTCATGGGTGTGTGTATAGTTTCTGACGAGATTTCAGATATTTAAAAATGTTTTTATCCATTCCTGTAATAGAGTTTACCAAAGTAGGTTACTCTTTTGCTTATCCCAGTAGTCTTAGGTAATTGTTAGGTACTGAATTAAGTCAACTTCAGGCCCTACGTAGCATACCATTCAATACTCAACACATAGGCTGTATCTGCTGCTGAATATTCTAGAATCTTCACAATAAGCATAAATTAAGCATTTATTAAAACAGCATTTTTTCATGATAGAAAAAATTCCACTAACCAAATATTAAAGAAAACTGCCCTAATCTGGTTTCACTTAACTTTTTGAAAATAGTAAAACTAATCTCCATTTTTGAAAGTAAAGAATTATGCATAAATTCAAATAAAAATCAGGGGGGGTTTAATTGGCCCTCAGCAGTTATTAAGCTAGTGATTATCTCGTTGGTTTTAACCTGTAGGCTTTCCTGGAATTTACTTCAGTACATTTCACCTGTTAATCCTATGCAGTTTGAGTAAAATGGCCTTTGCCACCAAACTCAGTTCTTAAAAATCTCTCACCTTTGTGCAGTATAAAATCAGGAAATAGAACTCCAACGAGGAAGCCATTGCTTGGATAAACTAGTAGTGGTAGTGGCATCTGTGGATATCTTTATAGCAGACCACTTTCACATGCTTTGTCATTACTGGTTTGTGTGTGGTCGAAGTGGCATCTTTGGTATTTTGTGATACTTACCATGTGCAAGGCATTTTTCACTTTGCAGATAATTCTCACAACAGTACCATGAGACAGGCCCTACATTTTCCCTCTCATTTGTAGATAGGACACTGAAGCATAGGGAGGTTAGATAACTTGGCAGGGCTTTAAGAAGAGCTTGGATTTAAACCCAAGCAATCTTACAACAGGTAAGTTTTCTTAAACTGCTGCATGATGCTGCCTCTGGAAGAAATTAAGTTCTTTACAGGTCATATGCTAGTGAGTATGGACCCAAAGTAGGCTTTTTCACTTTGAGTAGTTCTTAGTCTACTCTACCGTGATGTCTATTAATTATACACGTTTGATCTGTGCCTTTTCTCCCCAGTTGCATTGTGTCTTTCCTGAAGACAGAAAATAATATCTTTCCCCTTATAAATCTGCTGGAGATCTCCTCTCATAAAGAGGCTGTCAATAAACATATTGATTAAAACAAAGAAACGTGAGGGAAAATCAAAACAAGTCATTGAGGAAATATATATTTTACTTTATAAAACATGTTTACTATTGTCTTTAAGAACAAAAAGCTTAACTTTCTACTTTTGACTCTTGGCTATTGATGAGGAAGAAAATGCTGGCTCATTTTTATCCTTGTCCACCCCCGCAAAGCTTCTTACTTATTTCTCTGTGTGTGTGTGTGTGTGAGAGAGAGAGAGAGAGAGAGAGAGAGAGGGAGGGAGAGG